CTGGTCCTTTCTCCACAACCTCATCGCTTCTTTCACTCTCCTTTATGCCTCCTCATTCTCGTGTCACAAAGCCTCTATTATTGCCATTATCTCCCGAATGGTAGGACCATCGTCTATGGCCTTTAAATCCTTTCTTTGGAGTCTCTCTACCTCTTCTACCCTTTTATGCATCTCTTCATTGTCATGTCGCAGGATTTATATAGTCTCCAGGATTTCCTATAGCATAGGATCGTCATTGGTAAGTCTTGTGCCATCCACTCTACTGGTGCCAACACCACTAGAGTCGTTGACATTAGACCTACGAACATTGTTCCTTAGTGGCGATACCATTGTAAATCACTATTCATGCTCAAAAACCAAGGTGTGGGAGACAGTTTTACTAATACCCCATGATGGGTACCAAAATGTTTCAGTATATAGGATTGTCTTTAGAGAATTCTAGTTGTTATCATGGCTCAAAACATTCAATAAATGTAATCTAATTCTAGTGTGGATGTTTCTCCTAATATATTTAGCTCGAACCTCCTATTAAAATCCCTTATTCTTCACCCCTAAATGCACATGATGTTGTAAAACTAACAAATGTCTCTAACAAACTAATTTATTTTTAAAATTAGTTATACTTTAAGGATCACTAAACTTTGACTCCATCGAACGATCCACTTGAATAGAGAGGGTGCAACAACAATGAAATCAACATTACCAAATTTTTTACAAAAATTGAAAAGAAAAGAAAAACCTCGCATGTGAGGAAGAAAATTGATATACTGGTCCAAAAGTTAGTTGATATAAAATTTAGGCTAATTTATATTTTTTTATTTTTAAGATTCAATTTAGTATCATTAATTTTAAAAGGTTTAATTTAGTCCTTAATTTTTCAATATATGTTTAATATATTTTATTCAATTTAACATTAAAGATGATAATAAAATTAAATGAAAGGATAATATTGAATATTTTAGAAATAATGAGACCAAATTGAACATTTCAAAAATAGTATGACCAAATTTAATAAAATTTTATCAAACATTTTTTTCTTAGATAAATTTGAATGACAACAAAATTAATTACTTTAAATAAAAAATATAATAAAAAAATAAAATAGTTATCTAATAAAATAAATTATTAAATAGATAAAAAGAAAATTAATTTTTTCTAGATGAAAAAATATTAAATAATTTTTTATTTAATTTATTTTTTTTTATTTATGAAATGTTCGACTTAATCCTATTATTTTTAAATAATTCAATTTAATTATATAATTTTTAAATAATATTTAATGTTGTCTTATCAATGTCATTATTGTTAATTTAGAAGAAAGGATAATATCGAATATTTTAAAAATTAAAAAAGAATTGAATCATTTAAAAAATAATATAATTAAATTAAAATTTTAAAATAAATAAAAATAAAAATAAAATTTAGGCTAAAATTTAAGAATGAAAATCGTTTACAATTGAAGGTCCACTTCGATGACTGTGTAAGAGTTATGCTACCCGATGGATGCTTTAATTGTTGAACTGCCAGGGAAGAAAATTGGCTACCACGCTATAAAAATAAGTGGCCATTAGTGATGGCTTCTATATGATCGATAAGTAGTAAATATTACATTAATATCGTTTGAATCTTTTATTTATATATATATAATATTAATTATAAATATTTGAATATTAATTAAAATAATTAAAAATATATATTTAATTAATAAAAATTAGATTATTATGTGAACTATGTTAAAAAGAAAAGTAAAGGTAATGTGATTATTTAACTTTTACGCAATTAAAATAATTAAATATGATTAATCAAGTTATTTAAACATAATTAATGTCTACTAAGTAATTTTTTAAAGGAAATAAGTAAGTTAATGACCATTAATAGATATAATTAGAATCTATAGTAACTTAATGACCATTGATGTCTAATATTTTTTCAATTATAAAATAGACTTTATTTTAAGTAGAGAGTTACAAAATACATTTAAGTTTATATCTACACATTTTCTTAATATAAATTTAAAGGTATCTATGCATAAAAATAAAAATTGATTCACTTTATCATTGGCTCATGATTTTTTTTTTTTGATTCTGTGGATATATACTACTAATGCTCATGTGAAATTATTATTTGACATACGAGGGTCTGGTTGTTGGCTTGGAATTATGATTATAGTTATAGAATTGTTGAACAATTTATCTTAATTAAATAGTTTATTAATAATTTATTTATTTAATAAATAAATAAAATTTACTACATTATCTTACATCAAATAATGCTTTGTGCAGGTAGTTTGATAAATAAAGGTTAAAAATAAACATAACAAATTGTTTACACTAAAACATTCAACCACTTTATATATCGATTAAAATAAAATCTAAAATATAATTTATATATTTAAAATATAATTATTCAAATTTTAAATATAATTTATAAATTTATACATAATATATATTTATATACATAATTTATTTTACATTTTAATTATATAATAAACATTTAACACACTATTGCAATGTTAAAATATTAGTTATATCTATTTCTTAAATGTAGATTAGTTTGGTCATTTTAAAATAATGATTGTTTTCAATTTTGATTTGGGATAATTTTTTATTGATTCAAAACTTGAAATACATCTTAGTAGATTCACTTACATAAAAACTATTAAACATATTCGAAATTTAATTAAAAGTGTTACGAATATGATGAAAATTGTATAAAAAAATGAAAATTTCAAAAAAAAATATTTTTATACTATTTTCTAGTTGCTTATATGGGACATATTTTTCACACAATTTTTCCTATGCTTATAACTTTTTGAATTTAAATGTCAATTCATAGTTTTTATATAATTAAATTTAATTATAAATTTTATGTCTTAAATCAGTCAAAAATTAATTATAGATTGTATTGCATAATTAAAAAAATTATTATTTTAAAATGATCAAATTGATTCAAATATAAAAAAAGGACTAAAAATAATATTTTAATAAATAAAAGAATAAAATGAATCTAGAAAATAAAATAAAAGATCAAAAGTATAATTTAGTTTAAATTATTAAATTAAAAGCAAATGGTTTTAATTTTAGAAGTTAAAAAATATTTTTATAAAGATTAAAATCAAAATTTATTTATTTTATAAAAATTAAATATATATTTAAAATTATTTTTTATGCTATTATATATTGATAGGAAAAATACATTATATATCTCCATTAAATAAAAATAAAATAAGTGAGAAGTTAGTATTAATGAATTGAAAAATTAATTTTTTTGTATAATTATTTTTTATTTTATCCTTAACAAATATGTTAATAAAAAAAGTTAAAATGACAAATACACTGCAAAAAAAAAAAAAAATTCTTACTCTATTAAATAAAATAATTTTTTTCGGAGATAAATTTTTTAAATCAATTTATTGTTTTATTATCTACCTGTCATATTAATATTTGTACTTATATATTAACATTTGAAATTTGTTATTCATGAATAAGCAATAAATTAAGATTTATTTATAACATAATTAATGATATTGAATTATCATTTTTTTATATATAATTTCATAAGTACACATATTAAAGTTGTAATCAATGTTAGAATAACGTTTGAGAAAAGATAACATAAATTTAAAATTTCTAATTAATTAAAGAATAACTATACCATTATATTCATTATAGTTATTCAATTTTGAATAAACTTTTATTGGTTAAGTTGTTGCACGCTTTAATGTTGTAATAATATCTATTAGTATTGTCTTAATAATTTTGATGATGATGTTTTTATATATAATCATATTTGCACAGGTGATTAAAATATAACCATGCTTAGTCCTACAGAAAAATTAATAAAGTTTTGTTCGTAAAGTTGTTGCAACAAGTTTGAGTGTATTATTAATCTCATTTGCCATTGTTTTAATAGTTTTGTTGATAAAAATATATATAATGATTTTGATATGTCGATTAAATAATTATGTATTATAACTATTTTTTTTTATCACTTATGATGTATTAGATTGTTATAATTTTGATATATCAATAAATGTTAGTGATGTTCTTTTGTTTTAATCATTATTTCAACTATCTTATTCTAATATAAAAATTAATTAAAAGTTAATATATACTTATTTTATCTTTATCTCATTTTCTTCAATTATTCTTTCTTTTTTAAATGTAAAGTTTGTTTCTATTTATAAATATAATAAATGAAAATATAGGATTAAGAGGATTTGTCTCTTAATATTGTATTTTTTTAAACTATAAATTATATAGGATTCTTTAGAAAAGTAAAGGTGAGAATAGAAATTATTATTTAAGTTTTTCGGCAATCCAACTTTTAACTTTAGATCATAATAGGACACGTGTTTCCTCTCCAATTGAAATTAGCATTGGAAAAAAATGTTTTTTTTTTAATTATAGATATATTTTCTACAATGTAGGTATCATTTCTTACCTACAATTAGCACTTTGTTTTATTAAATATTATTGCATTCCACTTCAATTGTTATTTTCAATTATTTAAAACAAATTTGGAACTATCAACCATTAATTAATATACTAACAACTTAAAAATTGCTTCAAGAGAATTAAAAATAATATATAATTTTGTAATTTTAACTTTTAACTTTAATTTTTAAAAATAATGGTAAATATTATTTCTCTACACATAATTCATGATACAGAAACTAGTTATAAATAATATTAAATTAATTTCAATTAAATAAATTTATTTTAAAATAATATTCTTAAATGAAGTTAATTGATTCATATTTGACATGAAAAAATATGATTTTTTAATTTTTTTTTGTTGAATAAATGTTGTATAACATAGAGATAATCTATAATATTAATTATGATTTTTTTTTATAATCATGATATTAATACGAATTACTCATCGTTGAAAATAATAACTAAATCTTTCTTAGAAGTCGTAAACATACACAAAGTATTTACCATTAATTTTGCTCCTTACCACATGCAAAATAAATACGGGCGTCAAAAATTAAATTAATGACGGAGAGGATTTGGGGGATGCCGGTAGAGAGTCAACCACCCTCGGAACCGCCGGATGGGGGTGTTGGGGGTCTCAAGCTGGGTCAGTCAATGACCTTTAAGGAGAAGGTGCTGGGTACTCCAGCTATGCGGCCGGCTGTTCGAGATCTTATCAAGGAGGGGGCCATGACGTTAGAGTTTGAAGGTGGAGACCGGTTGTTTCCTAAATTTAGCATCACGGCACCCACGTTGAAACAGTTGTGTGCACCATGGGAAAAGTGCCTAGTGATCAAGCTGCTAGGGAGAGAGGTGGGGTTTTTAACCTTGCGGGACAGACTACCTGCGTTGTGGAAGGCTCAAGGAGGGCTCGAGTTGCTGGACGTGTCACATGGTTACTACATGGTGAAGTTTGATTTAGAGGCAGATAGAGAACGAGTCATGCACGGGGGTCCTTGGATGCTCTTTGATCACTATCTGATTGTTCGTCCATGGTCCCCGGATTTCGTTGCGTCAGCAACGAAGGTCGACAGCACTCTTGTCTGGGTTCGGTTTTCGGGACTCGGAGTGATGTTCTATGATGAGAGTGTTCTCCTAACGATTGCTTCGGCCATTGGGAAACCAGTCAAGGTGGATCTGAATACCCTGAATATGACACGAGGTAGGTTTGCACGGGTCTGTGTCGAGATTGATTTAAATGTACCAGTTGTTGGACGGTTCTTCCTTAATGGGGTGTGGTATAATGTTGAATATGAGGGCTTACATTTGCTATGCTCGGCGTGCGGCTGTTATGGGCATGTTCTGCGAAATTGTACTCACGCGAACAAGACTGCAGTATTGGTGTATGGTGAGGGAGTGAAAGAGGCGACGGAGCAGCCGTCAGGAGACCTACCGCGGAATGTAGAATCTGCTGCGGTATCAGGAGAGAAATCCGCCCCACAAATTAGGGGGGAAATTCCGCTGGATCCGCATGGGGAGTGGTTGGTGGTGAAACGGCGGAATCGGAGACAAAATCCTGGGAAACCGTTGAATAAGGGTAATTATTCCCTTCATAATGTTAATGCAGATTTTCAGGCGCAAGATCCTGCTCATCAAAGTCTATCTACGAAGGGAGTTAAAATAGCGAAGGAACCACGTGCGGAATTTAAAATTCACGTGAGGTGAGGTTGCCACCACGTGAATCAACATTCGTTGATGGGAGCCATGCAGATCATGCATTCGGGGATAAATACGTTGATGGGGGCCACGGGTTGATTCAAGGTGCATTTGGCATGGGGCCCACACTAGAACGTAAGAAACGTAGTAGGGGAGAGGGTGTTGTGGTACGTCCACGGCCCACGGTTTTTGCACCAGCCTTGGGCTCGTCTAGGGCCCACAATCCGCACGCGAGTATTCCGCTTAAGGCCCACGTAGCTGGTCCAAATTTGGTGCAGGTGGGATCACCGGGGAGTCCAGCCGTGAGTATGGCACAATGCGTGCTTCAACCGGGTTCCACGACTAAAGTATCACATGTTTCCGAGGACGATGATAATGAGAGCCTGGGTACGGCGGAGGGTATGCAATATGAAGAAGAGGAAGTCATGGTAGCTTGAGTCTCTGTCGAATATAGTCTGTTTAATGTCTATGGATTTTAATATTTTGAGTTGGAACATCAGAGGGGCTGTTAATGCCAAAGGTAAAAGGAGGGTTGCGGAGTTAGTAAGGCTCCATCATCCGTCTATATTTATTGTTTTGGAGACCCATTGTCAATTTTCTTCGGTGGAATCGTTCTGGTCAAAGCTGGGTTATCGGTTGTGCTACAGCATGGAGGCTACGGGGCATTCTGGAGGTATTTGGGTCTTGATGGCGTTGTCATGCTCTGCTAAAGTTTCGGACCTTGCTTCCCATCCTCAGGCTATGTCGTTTATGGTTGTTGAAGGAAGTAAGCGCTGGGTGTGTACTGCTGTTTATGCTAGTCCTCGGGTGGAGCTTAGGCAAGGGGTTTGGGCTCATCTTCGGGAGTTGGGGGGCCGGATTACGTTGCCATGGCTGGTGCTTGGAGACTTCAATGAAATTATGTTTTCATCAGAGTGTAGGGGTGGTCGCTTCTCGTCATCACGGGCCTCACAATTCCTGGACGTTCTGAATGACTGCAATCTTCTTGACATGGGGGCTAAGGGTTTACGCTTCACGTGGTATAGAAATCAACGCGGGGTTGTGCTGGCAAAGAGGCTAGACCGTGCGGTGTGTAATGTTGAGTGGCAAGCTATGTTTCCAGAAGCATATGTTGAGAACCTGTGCATGTGCTACTTCCTTCGTGGTGCCCAAGGAAGATAAGCCTTCTTTCTTTAAGACTCTTTCTACTTTAGTTTTCTTCATAAAGCACCCAACTTTTGGTTTGTATGGTTTGTTGGATACATCTCATGGTGTTGTATCTTCTATTTTTGATCTTGAAGGAAGTTCAAACTTATTTGAACTTAACTTGAATACTTTCCTACAAGACAAACTTAGATTATATGAGTTTCCTAGACTCCTCTTAACACCTTTTTCTCATATGTATCTAACAAATTATGCAATACAAAGTTGTTTAGGTAATTTTTTAGTTAAGTTTTCTTTATTTTCCAATACATACCTAGGTCATTACATTGGGCACTTCCAACAAGATATTTTAGTTTTTAGGACTAATACATTAGTGTGCTATAGTTTTAGTCTTTTTACCTTTTTAGGTTTTAGTTATACACCTAGACTTCACCATGGGGAGGATCCTATCCTTAGCATTAGAGAGTCTAGTCCTTTTAGTTTAGACAATCTTTTTAGCATTTTTAGTGGAACTCCTCTTAGGATACACTTTCCATTTCTATCATATACTGTCACCTTTAATGCTTATTTTTATGTTTTTGTTGGTCATGAGGCCCACCATGAAGAACCTCTTGATTTGAGGTCAAATCCTTTTCAAGAGGGAGGGAATGATGGAATAACACTAAGGCCAAGAAGACCAAGAGGTGATATATTGAAGGAGGCAAGAGGAATGGGTTAGTGTTGAAAAACCATAGGAGGAGTAAGCCTACTTTTGGGCCTTAGCTCCTAAGTTTTTATAGCATTTATTTTTATTCCTATTTTTGCCCTTGTCTTTAATTTCCTATTTTACCCTTGTATTTTGGGGTATCTTAGTCATAGGATTTATTTTCTTTTGTATTTCCCATTTTACCCTTGTATTATGGGGTGTTTTAGATCATAGGTTTTTAATTTTGGGCTAAGGTATTTAATTAGGGAGCTAGACACATTTTTGGTGGTGTTTGGACCTATTTTTGGACTTAGAAAGGCTTAGGCCCAAGTGGAGGGCAAATGTTGCATGATCTTATCATGCACCTAGATGTAGCCTAACTAAACCCAAAGATTCCATCCTTGGCCACCAAGTTGCATCTAGGGTTAATTTGGGTTTCATTTGGTGTGCATTTGGCACCCTAAATGCAACCCTAGATGCCTCCCACTCCTATAAATACCCTAGGCATCATCATGAAGTGAGTCAACCCTAGAGTACCCTTCTCAAGCATTTCCTCAAACACCTTCTAACCAACCTCCATGTTTGTTCATTCCATCATCATCCACCCTAAAACCTTGTGCCACCTTTGAAGAATTTGATCCTTGGAGAAGGCATGAAGATCATGAATGAGTACCAAATGTAATAAGAGTAGTTTATGTGTTCTTATGAGTTAAGTTGCTTTGTTGGTCAAGTTTATGTTCTATGCATGTTTGTGCTTTGTGCATGAGTTAAGTCTTAATTCTAATTGTCTAAGAGTGAGTATGATTGATGAGTCATTATTTTCCCTTATTTATTTATTTATTTGTTTCTACTTATTTTAATTGTTGATTTGGGCTTAATCGCTTATTAATTGCACAGTTTCATTGTTTGGGCTTCATTGGGCCAGTAACTCAAATTTTAATTAATTCTAACTCACTTGGACTAATTTTTGTCTAAATTTTCAGGTTAATTGTGAATCATTTTTGGGCTTCGATATTATTTTTGGACTTCAAGAGATAAGTGTCATGTCAGTGCCATGTCAGCACCAAATCACCATATCAGCACCACATCAACAGCTTATTTACTATTTTTTGTATTATCATTTTTTGTAATTTTCAAGCCAAACACATGGGAAAGGGGGCCCATTTTATGTTTATAGAGTTTTAGGATTTAGGGCTGACCATGCAACCACCAACTTTGAGACCTTGATGTGACCACATTTTTGTTTCTTCTTCTTTTTACGTTTTCTCTGTTCTGTTGCTTCTTCTTTTACGCTTTTCTTCTACTTCTCCGCTAGTTGTATAAAAAATTGCACTTTTACATTGAATGAATACAGATTCTTCGTATTTCTTCTTCTCTTGTTTCTCCTGTTTTGCTGTCTCTGTATTTTTGTTTTAATGGATGGCTAAAACCCTTGGGGTCGACCCCTTGAGCGGATTGAAAGCCCTATTTGAGGTTTTATTCGTATATGAATCTCTGTTTCACTTTGTTATTCTTCATTGGATTTCTATATTAATATGTTTTCAACATCTGTTCACGCTTAATGAATCTGGGTTGTTTACGTTTAATACCATAGTTTGCTTAATCTTGTGTAGAAGTTTAATGTTGTATACGTTTGCTTAATTCATGTAGGGAAA